ACTTTTTTTTTAAACATAAAAAGTGAATCAAATTTGCTTAGACTTAATTTCTTTTTGTATGACGAAAAGTTTGCTACTAATAGTGTCACTCAAAAGTTTATGTTTTGTTTGTAAGCAATAATTAAAAAAGTTGGGAAATTCTATTTATATAATTTGATTTCTGAAATTTTAAATTCAATTAATTGCTCAATGTTTAAATTAGATAAAAAAATTTTTTAAAATTTTGATTTTATTTTGGAAACAATGTGATAAAATTCTTCAGCATTATTGATAACTGTCTTTCTGGTATAAACCTGATTAGCAGCATTTCTTGAACAGCTACAGTTATGCCATTTGAGAGATAAAATTACATTTTATTGATTTACAGCCTTTAATAGAGAAGTGGCTGTGGTTGCAAATAATTTCATTAGTTATATATATCACTGCTTTCTTTGTTAAGTTTTTTTTAAACCTACTATAAAATTAGTTTTTTTTTATATATTTTTTTGTTTTTGTATATATATTTTTGTTCTTTTGTTAAGTTTTGTGCTTGGATTAAACCTTTTTTATTTGCCTTTTTACCTTGTCTTTCTGCATTGGGTTTTAACCATTAGTTTTTATTATAATCTAAAATGTCAATAAGTTATATTGAACTGTAGTGCAAATTGCTTTCGCAATATTTTCTAAATAATTTCATATTATTATAACAATTAAAGATTCTGCAATAAAATTGTGTATATAGTATCAACTACATTTCAGCAAAACATTTAATTGTGCATTATATATTTTTTTTATTTTGCTAAAATTGATATAACTCATTCCATAAAATATATAATTTATTACATAATATAAAAAATAATGAGTTATTTAAATGCATAATAATTTTATATTAAATAAATGAGTTAATAAATGAGCAAAATAAAAAAAACAAACAATTATGACTTTCAAAAATAATTTTTTTCCTTTTTCAAATGTATCTTTAAAAATGTTATAAACTAAATATTAGATAATTAATTTTAATTAGATATAGCATATAAAGTGTATTTTACTAAAAACAAAAAATTTACTGTAGTATAAAATAAATTATAATAAAAAGTCGACAAGTTGTTGGCTATTTGTATAGTTAAAATATAATCTCATGCACTGCAAAAAAAAAAAAAAAAAAAAAAAAGTGTATGTCTAGTAGAAATCCCACAATCACCAAAAAAAAATTATGGTAAATTGATATTTATTTTCTATTCATACTTGCTGAAATTCATTGTGTAATTGAATATTATTTTTAAGTATAAGTTAAAAAAACACTTGTGGGTTACTTGTGGGACAGTTGGAAAACTATATCAAATATAGAGTTATATAAGCCAATGCATTTTTTTAGTTCACACATGATAAAAAAAAAAATTGCAGTTGTTAAAGGGATCCCAAAGTGCAGAGACAAGTTGTGTTCATATTAAAGAGAATAATGATAAAATGTTTAGACTGAATATTTTTTGTTATGAATATTTTTGAGTAAAACAAAATAGTAAACATATACCAAGAAAAACTTTGTTGTTTTACTTGAAGCTCGCTGTCTCCATGTTAGCCAGTTCCTTCAAGTCTTAAAAAATATACGTCGCAATCTACAGACTTTATAATTTATTCAAGCGCATTTAATTCCAAAGACATTTAGTATATTAGTATATAGTATAGTATATATATATAGTATATATAAAGTATATATTAGTATATAGTATATTAGTATATTAGTATATAGTATATTAGTATATAGTATAGTAGAATTTCGATAAAAAATCTAAAAGATCTTTTTTTTCATCAAATTATAGAATTTTTTATTATTATCAGTTTTTGAACACTATAAATACCAAATCATTCAATTGCTTAGAAATTAGTTCTAGTTTGCAACTTTCTTTACGTTAAATTTTTTCTTTACACTAAACATTGCGCCAACACTAAACAATTGCGCCAAAGTAGAAAACTAAACTTTAAAATATTACGCTCAAATTTCTAGCTCCACGTTGTGAAATTTGTGCCACCAATTTTCTTATGCATTACATACATATATTTACGCTATCCGGTGGACACAGAAAAATCCGGTCAACTTTAAATTGAGATTTCTCTAAAACCACTTATACTTTTTATTTCTTTAATCTTTTTAATTAAACTTTACTTCATCATATTTTTTTGTGTTAATAAACTTTTGTTTACAAATTAATCATTTGCAAAATGTTTCGGAAACAAATTGAGGTGCATTAAAAAGTTGTAAATTTTTTTTGAAAAAACCCATCGACTACATATCATTTAATTGCTAAATGTACAATTGTCATAAAATTTAAAGTCATAGATGTTATAAATAAGTTTAACACTACTTAAATCTTCAAAAAAAAACCTGGAAGTGAATGAAAGAAAACTTTCGATAAATCCAAAAAGGTAAAGTCAATTTTACGTTCAATAGCAAGAAATCTAAACAGGTTACAGCGAGATGTAGCAAGAAAATTCAAGATTTTGCGTTCTTATATCAAAAAAGTATTTAAAAATGCTGGAATTAAAAGTACTTAAAAGTGCATTTTATAAAAAAAATACACCTAAGAAAAGCTTTAACTGTGAAATTAAAGGAATTCAACGCGCAAAGAAGTTGGTTAAAATAATGGCGGATAAAAATACGCACATAATTGAAGTCGATAAAACATTGCAAGTTGGATTTTTTACAACTTCCTGGTTATCAATTTTTCTATGAGAACAAAGATAAACCTGTCGTTGATTAATTTAAACATGTTCGAGGTGAAAAATTTACATCCTAGTTCCTTTTGTGGCAAGCAATTTGTAGCTGGTATGCAATCCTTTTGTTTTGTTACTAAAAAGACCTGCTGACCTCTACATCAAAGAATGTTTTTAAAAAAGACTTGCCATTTATGAAAAAAAACTAATACCGATATCTCTTTTAGCCAGACCTTGCTACTTCTCACGGTTCTAAAAAAGTTATACAGTGGTGCAAAGATAATAATGTGAAAGTTGTTTCTAAAGATGCGAATCCTCCAAATCGCCCTGAAGAGCGCAAGATTGAAGATTTTTTGGCAATAGTTAAAGGAGTGCTTCATAAGACAGGTGGAGTAACAAAAAATAAAAAGGACTTCAACAAAAGTTAATTAATGCCACCAATAAGGTGAAAAAAGAAAAAATCTGCGAAATGATGGCATCAACCCGCTTTAAAATTTGATCTCTTGCCAAACAGCCTATCAAGCTTCTTGAAATTAAGTTAAAACTCTAATTGATCACATTTAATAATAAAAAAAAATTGAAATAAAAAGCACTTTTGGTTTTAGAGAAATCTCAATTTAAAGTTGACCGGATTTTTCCGTGTCCACCCGATACTTACAAATTATTTATATAAATTTTGATACTAAAGAATTTGTTTAGTTATTTGTTATTATAAAAAAGTTTTTTTGTTTTGTTTTATTTTCTAAATTTTGCCAAGTTCGCATTAAAAGTATAAATAAAGTATTTCAGATAATTTAAGTTTGTCTATTGCTATATATTTTTTTTGTGTTTTATTTATTTGTTATTAAATGATTATTATCCTTATTAAGATTCTATTAAAAAAATTATTTTGTATTATTTAACTCTTTCACTACCACAAGCTACCGACAGGGGCTTTTTGATTTTTTTAAATTTTGACCACAAGCTGCTCTAAAGCTGCTGGTAGCAGCTTTAGAGTTTGATTTGCAATTTATCTTGTTTTGTACATAAATTTACCAAAAATTTTTTATTAATTAAAATTTAAGAATTTGTAAAATGTCATTTCTATAGGAGAACAAAAACGTCATAGTGATTAACGGCTTAGATAAACTAGAAAAAAAATTCACATTTTTTACATAAAAACAAAAAAAGTTTAGAAAATATAAAAAATGATCAATATCTTTTTTATTTACTTAGTATATTTAAGAGTTTATTATATATTAAAAATCTAAATTTTATTTGGTTCTTGCGGTAAAAAAACATTCTTTTGTTTAGATTCCCATACAATTTTTAGGGAAGGCATACAATTGATGATAAACCCTTATTTTAAAATACAAATAAAACAAAAACAAATAATATTGATTAGAAAAAAATATTCGATATAAAAAAAATAGCCTATAATGACCTCATAAACTAAAATTCTTTTGAATTAAACATGCTTGAATAAATTGTAAAGTCTTAGTAGTAGATTGTAGATTAAAGTAGATTGCAGCATATATTTTAAAGACTTAAAGCAACTGGCTAACATGGAAACAGTGAGCTTCAAGTTAAATAATAAAGTTAATTTTTTCTTGGTATACGTTTGTTATTTTATTTTAAACAAAAATATTCAGCCCATTGTTTTTTTATCATTCTCTATAATATAAACACAAATTGTCTTTGAGATCCCTTCAAGATTTTTATTGTAAACAAAGAAGTATGTGTAATAAAGTTATACAAAAAATACTATTAAAAAGTTTATAATTTCTCTCATGACATGATGGTTTTATTTTTAGGTTTTCAAATAAATCATTTAGCTACATATTAAGTGATTATGCTGGCAGAACAAGTTATAAAGAAAATTACCTTTACATTTATCGGTATGAAAATAATATGCAAATAAATATATATATATATTTTTTTTGTATATAAAATTTTAAATTGTTTTTTTATTCTTATATTTAAAATTAAATTTAAAGTTTAGTGTTGTTAACTATGACTAAAGATGGTGAGACCATAAATAATTTAAGCTCAATATTTTTCTATTACTAATGTTGGTAAGCTGTTAATACCAATGTAATGTCATTAAGCTATAAAATTTGTTTTAAATCCTTTATTAAAGTCCAGCTAAACAAAACTGTTATGTAAAAATCTAAAAGGATGGATATCAAGAAGAGTAGTGAGACTTGTTTCAAGTTCTCTTTGTAAATAATTAACTCTATGTAAAGTAGGAGAGGAAGGAGGGGGGCATAATGAGCGCCATAGTATCTAGTGACTTTAACATGGTGTATGTGGCAACACGCTCACTTACTAGCTAGTCACTAATAGCATGACCAAAAAAAAGGTGAAAAAAAAAAGGCTTTTTATAAACTAAATCTGTATGTTGTGAACCTTGAATCACTGGTATGTGACTTGATGTGCTAAACTCATGCATTGCTATACCCAGGCTGTGGAGCTGAGCCGGAGCTGGGAAGCGGGTGTTTTTTGGTGTAGCCAGAGCTGGAGCTGGAGCCACAAAAATTAAGCAACTCTCTGTTTTTGAGTTTTTTTTTAAAGGAGTAGAATTTATATTTTTTTTACAGTAGAAAAATATTCATTCATTCTATAACTAATTTGTTGAATGAATAATTTTTTGAATTTCTATTATTTTAAAATATTTTATTAACAGGTACAGTCTCGCCAAAATGTAATAAAAATGTATATTTAATGATTTTGTACTTGACAAAATACTATCCATTAATAGCATTTCTTAATATGCTTTATTGAGAGAAAAAAATCAACAAGTAAATTATATATGGAAACATTCTTACAGTATTACATATATTGCTCTATATTATATTTTAACATTGATATTATGCTATTAAATATTCAATGCACAATTCAATGATCAAAGGTTATTCATATATTAAAAATTATACTACCCAGTGGCACAGGACATAAAAAAAATGCTTTAAAATGCTTTAAAAAGAATGTTTTTTAAATGTTTTGGGCGTCTTTTAAATGTTCAAAAGACATCTTTTTTAGGTCCTGTGCCCGCTGAATACCCAGTGGGGATGAGATGTAAGAAAGGCATCTTTTGAAATGTTCTTTGAATGTTTTGTTTGTATTAGGAACATTCAAAAGGCATCTTTTTTAGGTACCGTGCCCACTGGATAGAATTAGAACTAAAACTTTTTGGGTTAACAATATATAGAAATAATTGTATATTTACTCAAAACATTTTACTTTTCAAATGTAATATGAATAGTAGAGTAGTTATAGTAATAGATTCACCTTGTAAACATGAGTTTTTTAAAATTAATTGCGAGAATTGGTTTGGATTTAGGTAAGCAAGTGGACTTTTGGAGTTTTTTTGGAGGAAAATTATTTATGCTACAACAAAGTTTTTATATTTAGTTCTTCATAAATTCTGGTTCAAACAATTGATTGATTTAAAATCATTGTTAGGCAAAATTTTTAAATCAATTAATTTTTGTGTTTGAACCTAGAATTTCTTTTTTAAAATATATGAAATGCATGAAGGGGCGATATATTTACCATTAACTTTAATGCATAAATATTTAATATGTTTTCCAATCTTTAAATCCTTAATAATAGTAATACCAAGTTACCTTTTTGAAGACAAACCCTAAATTTAGAGATTTTATGTGTTTTTCAAAGCAACTAGAAGTAATTGGAATTTAACCAGATAACTATAAAATTAAAATTAAACCATTATTTATTGCAAATAAATTTGTTTTGAATAAAGTTGAACATTTTTGAAAGATTCATTGTTTTTAACCCCAAAATTCTTCTATTATTAAAATATTGATTGTTAATATATTGTTTATACATAAATACTTTTTGAGTTGAACAAAAAAGTGCACCCAGAGTAGTTTAATCACATAAACCACACAAAAAGGTGCCATAAATGTCAAGGTTTGTGCATATAGAATCATTTCAAAAATGTTGCTGACAGTTTGTAGAATACTTTTGGGATGGTAGTTTGAAATATCCATTGTATTTTTTTAAAATATATGTTATGATATTATCCATTTTTAAAAATGGCTAATATATTGAAAAGATGCCATCTAAAATACTATTATTTATGCAATATTTATTAATAAAACACATAAGTTAGGACTTCAACAAAAGTATACCTACTGTTAGTTATTTTTAAATTATTTAAATAGATTAAATTTTTTTAAATAGGTGTACTATTAATATCAGGTGTACCATCTTCTAATGTTTCTTAATATCAGGTGTACCAAAATTCTTCCTAATGTTTATAATACTAGGGTGGTCAATATACTTATTGATAACTGTGTTAAATTTTTTTTCAATCTAATTCACTCCCAACCAAGCTGCAAGTATTCACTATTAAGTCGAGAGTTACTATTAAGTTAAGAAAACAGATAATAGAGTTAAAGAGCAAGGAATCATTCAACAAAAGTTTTATGAGTCAGAAAAAGTATATACTTATATACTCATGAAGATCAGAGAGAGAGAGTTCCAAAGGATTGAAATGCAGATAAAAAAAAACAACAAAACAAGAAATAGTTTTTAGAGTATGCAAGGCAGATACAGTAAAAGGATGGGACTTTGCTGAGAGACAAGTCAAGTCAGATTGTATATATGGTTTGCTATTCATTCATATAAAATTTTTGACAGTGTCATGATAAAAATTGAAAAGGTCATAAAAAACGACCATTTCATTTTTTTGTAAAAAATTATTGTTTTTTTAATATAAAATTTAAGCAATTTATTTTTATTTGAACCCATTATTATTTCAGAAATCTCTATGAAATTCTGGTTCTTTTTAGACCCAGGATGATATACTTTTAAAGAAGTGTGTAATCAAGGGTCATGGTGTCAATCACTTTTCATTTACTTTCAAACCAAAGTTCATCTGTTTTTTATATTGGAAACTGGAGATACCAAAAAGTCACATCCCTAATATATATATATATATATATATATATATATATATATATATATATATATATATATATATATATATATATATATATATATATATATATATATATATATATATATATATATATATATATATATATATATATATATATATATATATATATACAGGGTTCATGGCACTCAGGGAAAACCTGGAAAACCAGGGAAAAGTTTTAAAAATTTAGAAAATCAGGGAATACCTGGAAAAGTCAGGGAATATTTGTTAAAAATCTGTAAAATCAGGGAAAACTCAGGGAATATTTTTCAGTTTTTTATTTAGCTTGAAGTTATTTTGCAAAATACACATTTTGAGTGTTTATTGTTGTTGAAAATTGCTCACTAAAGTGGTTTTTTAACTTTTATATTATATAGTAACTATATGTTTAGCTAAATGTATAAATAAATATAATAATATAAGACATGACTTCAGAAAAGACTTATTTTCAAGAGGATTGGTTACAACAAGATATTTATAAAGATTGGTTAGTTCCCAACGCACATGCAAAAACTAAAGCTCATTACAAAAAATGTAAAAAATCATTTGAATTGTCCAATATGGGTATTCAGGCTGTTAAAAGTCATGCAGCAGGTATTTATATTAACTTTTTTAATGTGAGAGTGAGAATTAAAAAGAAATGTTGCTTGATTGATTCATTATTTTATATTTTAATATCAGTTTCAAACACATTGTAATCAACTTTTGATTGCAACCTGTTTCAGTTGTTTTCCTTGTTGGTTGGTTGCTTATATTGTTATTTCAAACTTTGCAAGCTAAACAGATTGAGAAAAAAGATAAAAATTTTTAGACATTTTAAATGTTTCATTATTTATTTATCTTGTTTTAGGTAAGAAGCATCAGTCTGCTACAAAGCCTGCTAGTTGTTTCTTTATTAACGGAAAAGAGTTGCATGCTGAACCACTTGGAAGTGATGAAAAAATATCCACATTTTTCACCAAAAAACAAGCAACTATTGTCTCTTTAATTAAATCATCATTATCAACTAATGCTGAGATCATATGGGCCCTGAAATCTACAATGAGCTGCTACTCTAATAACTCATGTGCAAACTTTTAAAAAGATGTTTCCTGATAGCAAGGTAGCAAAAGACTTCACTATGAGCACCTCAAAAGTATCATACATTGTTAACCATGGACTAGCCCCATACTTCAAGACACTTTTAAAAGAAGAAATCACAAAGTCTGATTGTTACATTGTATCTTTTGATGAGAGTTTAAACGACATAACCCAAACTTGTCAGATGGATCTACTAGTTCGGTATTGGGATGGCAATAATAAAGTTAAAGTGAGATATTGGACATCAGCATTTCTTGGTCATTCTGCAGCTTCTGACCTTCTTACACATTTCAACGAAAACTTATCAAGATTTGATTCAAGTAAAATGTATCAAGTTTCCATGGATGGGCCCTCTACAAATCTGAAATTTCTAGATGATCTTAATAAACACAGAAAGGACAACGAGATGCCACAACTTATAAATATTGGAAGTTGCTCTTTGTATGTAATCCATGGTGCTTTCAAAACAGCTATCGAATCAACAACATGGAATATTAAAGAAACTTTAAAAGGGTGTTAGCAAATTCTTCATGATAGCCTAGCTAGACGTCAAGATTATGAAACAGTCACAGATGCGACAAAATACCCTCTCTTTTTTTGTGGAACAAGATGGGTTGAAAGTAAATCTGTTGCAGATTGTTGCATTGAAATCTGGCCTAATATATGTAAGTTGATTGAGCTTGGGGAAAAGTTACCATCTTGGAAACAACCTAAATCAAAAAGCTTTTTAAATGTAAAAAAGGCTGTCAAAAACAAACTTATTATTTTAAAATTTGAAGTTTTCAGCTTTGTTGCAAGCATATTAGAGCCATATTTGTTGGCATACCAAACTGACAAACTAATGATTCCATTCATGTATCGTGACTTAGAAAGACTGTTACGAACCATACTGAGCTTGTTTGTGAAACAAGATGTTATTGATAATAGTTGTATTTCAGTCCAACTAAGAGAAGTTGATTTTCATAAAAAAGCTAATCTACTTAAAGGAAATCAAATCAAACTAGGGTTCGCAGCTGAAACAAGCCTGGCTGTTTTACAAAAGAAAGATATAATAACCATTGCTGATATTCAAAGTTTTCACAAAGATTGCACTAACATGTATGTTCGATTGATTGAAAAGTTCATGGACGGAACTCCACTAGGATCTATCATTGTACGCAACTCTCAGGTTCTTAACCCAAATGCAATGGTAGTAATGACTCAAGAAGATGCCGAGAAGAAGTATAAATCTTTATTGACCCACTTGATTAGCTTGAAATATGTTTCACCAATCTTTTCTGATAAAGCTATAAATCAATTTGCAGATTTCTTTTGAGAATCAAGGGTTTATCAAGACATCTTTCATGAACTCAATCAAGAAAGAGATAGCTTAGACGACTTCTATTTTAAAAAATTTAACCTAAATAAATATAAAAGTTTGCATTGACTGTTATAATATTATTAACACTAAGCCATGGACAAGCCTCAGTTGAGAGAGGTTTTAGTATAAATGCCACAGTACTAGAACAGAATTTAATTGAAAAATCAATAACTGCAAGACGTTTAGTCAAAGATCATATGCTATCAAATAATCTTCAGCCACATAGTATTGAAATTACAAGCAAAATGATCATCAGCATAAAATCGGCACACGAAAGATATAGAAGCTACCTAAATTCAATCGCAGACACTAACAAAAAAAAAGCAAGTCAATTGGCAAAAAAAGTTGTTAGCGATGAAATAAAAGATGTTGAAACGAGGCGAGATCAACTGAAGAAAACCAGTGAAATGTTGCAGTTTGATTTGTAAAATTTGTTGAGGAAGCAGAGGAGAAGCAAGATCTAGGGTTAATTTCTAAAGCTAATGCGATGAAACAAAAAGCATATGAAAAAAATGAAGAAGTAAAGAAATTAGAGCTAGCACTTAAGCTAGAATAAAGAAATTAGAGCTAGCACATCTTAGAGCAAAAAAGAAAGTTGCTAAAATAATATATTCGTTCTCACATGAAGTTTATATTTTGTTAACAAAACACATTAGTTTTTTCAAAACATGTATAAATTATTATTTTTTTAATATATTTCTTTTAGTTAGCAGATTAATATGGCTCTGTTTCTTGTTTAAAACACCTTTAACGGATTGCTATAAATTAATTAAAAACAGTCTCTGATTTCTTAGAAAATAGTGATAAAAAGTATTTAGGGAACAAGGATTCAGTTGCAAAAGTATTATATTTTTCAACATTGATAGGCAAAATATTTAGACTTTTCACCGCACCAACTCAAGGAAAAAATGCTTGAAAATCAGGGAAAATCAGGGAAAACTCAGGGAAAATGGTTTTTCAAAACTGCCATGAACCCTGTATATATATATATATATATATATATATATATATATATATATATATATATATATATATATATATTATATATATATATATATATATATATATATATATATATATGATAACTGTCTTATCTATCCAATTAAATAAAAAAACTTTGTTATGTAAAGAATTGTAGTTAAAATATTTTACTATTTAAAAAAAAAAAAATTCTATATATCAATTACCCTTGTATAACTCCTGTACAACTATATAAAAAAAAGTTTTTAAATCATATGATTATTCTAGAACTCTACTTGTAAAAAAAGTTTAAATACCTATAAATATAAAAACAAAGTTGTGAGACAAAAAACAATTTGATTTCTGTCAAAAAAAAAAAGTTTAAATCTTTAGGAGTTTAGTGAAATCTAAATGTAGGGCGTAACAGTTGCCAACAATATCTAGTTCAATCTATAAATAATATATGATATGACTATCAATACATAAAAAATTCTTTTAACTTTACAATATTCATTTTAGCATATCACATATTGCATTTTTACAAAAATATTATTTTTGGCGTCAAAGTTTTTTTACAAATAAGTTATTATTAAACAAAGTTTTCAAATCAATCATAAGACTTTCTTAATTACATAAAATGCATTTATATTCCCAAAAGTTAGTGTTTTATAAGTTATAAAATGTTTATTAAAACAAGCTTGAAAAGCTAAAATGTTGGTTTATTTTGTAAAATTATTTAAAAAATGATGCTAAGAATTCCAACCCACATAGAATTTCATTAATTGGTGCCACCTTTTATCTATTAAACGTCCATCTATTAAAATGGCCTTGCTGTAATAAAATACATAGAGTTAAAGAAATATTACAACAATTCAAGATTCCACATTAAAAGTGTTAATCTGATTACAATTTTTTTAGCAGAGCATAAAAAAATAATGCAAATGTGCATTATTTTTTTATTTTGCGTTGAGACAAATAAATATAAATTTGTATATTTTATTTCAAAAATATAATTAGTATATAAAATATATAATTCTTTACATAATTTAAAAATTATTACACAATAACTTGGCGGGATCAGGGTTACAACATCGATTTTTGCCATGTCTAGTAACATTTGTCCAACAACATCTGTAAAGATAATGAGGTATAATAACATCTGTCCTACAACATCTGAAATTTCATCGGTGTCTAGTAACATCTGAGGAAAAATTAAATAAATATTACAGATGTATTTATATTTTTTAAATTATCAAAGTGTAATAACATATGTGCAACAACATCTTTGGATTTTACAGATGTAGTTACATTTTTTAAATTATCAAAGTGTAATAACATCTGTGCAACTACATCTGTAGATTTTAAGTTGAAGTTATTTTTAAGCTGAGTTAACTAATAATGCCTTATATATATATATATATATATATATATATATATATATATATATATATATATATATATATATATATATATATATATATATATATATATATATATATATATATATATTATTATTATTTTTATTTATATATATATATAAATAAAAATAACGGGATCGTATTTGGTAATTTAAAAATAACATAATAAACTGTTATTTTAAAGAGCGCGTTAATAAGCCTAACCAGGAAATGTTAAAAAACTTAAAAAAAAAACTTTTTTTTTTTAAGTGATAGACTGCCTGCCCAAACCAAACCCTCAGTCAATGTAGCGAGTCAGGCTATTTGTCAGTTGTGTAGCAGCCCTTCCTTACGAGTCAGACTATTTGTCAGTCGATGTAGCAGCACTCCATTGCGAGTCAGGTTATAAGAAAGTCGATGTAGCAACACTCCCTTGTAGCAGCAGGCTATAAGATAGTCAGTGTAGCAACACTTACGCATGTTTTAAAAATGTTTTTTAATAAAACAAAAACAAAAACACCACTAATTAAAAAAAACTTTCTAGTCATTATTATTGCGGTTTTTTTAAAAAACCATAAAATTTAATGTACTTCCACATTAATTTAATTGCTTTGACATTTCAATGACAATAAAATGCAGCTTAAGAGACGAGGTAAAAAAATTCAAAAGTCTAGAATCAAGTTCCACAAGCGTGGTCCCAGGCATGTAATTGAGAAGTCTGACTTTTTTAGTGGTGTTAGTGAAATATAGTAATTACTTATTGAGTATCTAATTTCATATTTATGATTAAATAGAGAGAAATATATATAAAATTTTTTGGAATTATTTCATTTTGAAGTTTAAACATAAATAACAGGTTATGGTAGATATTTAGTTTGTACACATTTAGAGCATTTATTTCCTTGAGTAACGCAGCACTACGTCTATCCTTGAATAGTCAGTAGACAAATGTACACTCCACTGCGCTAGATTTCTTTTAAATTTAAAAAACAAATATAAAAACTCAATTTTTTATATCAAAATCTTTTAAATATAAAAACTCAATTTTTTATATCAAATTTATTAGTCTTTTTTACCGTAAAAGTCTCTTTCGACTACACTATAAGGATATATATGTTTATATATGTATATATATATATATATATATATATATATATATATATATATATATAAATTTTATACAATTTTTAAGGGATGATTTGTTTGAAGTATCAGATTACTTTCACTATGATGATGGACCCGAGGAGTCGCAAGAAGATACATTTGAAAGGGAACCTTTTATAGCATTATTTAAATCAAATTTTACTTTAGGTTAGTTCATTAAGTCCTCTTTTCTCATTCATTATATGATTTTTTTTCACCTGGAACTTTTTTTTTCACAAAATAGATTTTTACTTGATTTTATAAGTATTTTTATGATAAAACTTTTATGTATAATTACTATTTTTATGCATTCTTTTTTAGCAAATTTAAATTTTATAACTTTTTTTTTAAATAATATATATTGTATTATGTAGCATAAAATTAGTTTTTTATAATTTTTTTTATTCTTTAGAGTTGTTTTTTTATTTTTTGAGTTCTTATTTTTAAAGCATTTTTACTTTAACTCAGTGAAACAGTTTGCAGTTATTGGCGTTCATATCAGACCAGATGCAGTAGAACAAGAGATCTCAGAGCTGATTAATGTATACAAATCAACCATAAATAAATGGAAAGAAACATCTGTTGTATTAATGGGAGATTTTAATGCTGGTCCAAAGTAATTCTACTTTTTTTATCAATAATTTTTATTTGTACATATGTTATAATATATTATTACTTGTCATTACTACTATCAATTTTTTATTAATGATCTTTAGTCAATAATATAATTTTAAATTGTTTTTATTGGTTTATTTTGGTTCAAAGATAAAACATAAAAACCACATTTGACATTTAAAAAGAAAGATTTAGACAAATATTTATCATCAGTTTAAAATAAAACTCAAAAAACTCAAAAAAGTTTAATTTCACCTATAACTATATCTAAAGCTTGACACAATGAATTGAGAAGCTAATCTAGTCTTACTGAAACATCTCAAAAAAGTTCTTACTTTGTTTTCATGAAAAACTTCTTGTAAATTTATACCGAGGTACTCTAGATTTGCTAAACATAAAAACCAAATAGTATCAAAGTGCTGTCATGAAAACAAGATTTTGCTTGCTGGACACACACACACAAATATATATATATATATATATATATATATATATATATATATATATATATATATATATATATATATATATATATATATATATATATATATATATATATATATATATATATATATATATATAAGTGAAAATAATCAAGATAAGTTTAAGTTTATATTTTCTTCTCTAAATATTGAATAACTCAACACTTCCAACTTTGAATTCAAATTTGAATTTTCAATTTGAAACTGTATTTTAGTTGGTTAAATCTCAATCAGATAAAGCTAAGTGTTTTTCAACCCTGTGTGTTAGTAAAATTAATATTTTTCATAAAGTAAAATAAAATTTTTTCACAGAGCTCAGAGCTACAATGGTTCTCTTAAAAAAAATCCTGGCTTCATATGAAATAATACATGAATTCATGTATAAGTCATGTATTATATGAAATGATTTAAAACCGACCAGTAATTCTCATCTCAGTCATCTGACAAAATGAAGAAACAATTGCAGATGTTTTGAAAATTTCTGTGAAAGATATAATTTTATATATAAAATCTAGAAACATTCCTAGCTAATATAGAGTAAACACTACAATTAGATGGATCTATATACACTACTGTGAGTGATGGTTTTAACAATATTAACTAAGATATTTTTGTGAATCTAAAGTTAAAAAATAGTATATATACATTTAATGTTGATATACAATCAGAATTCCTATTAGTTTTTTTTCAGGGCGATAACTTACTGTATTTTCAATTTTTGAAAATGCAATAAATTTCAGTCCTAAAAAAATGTCTCAGACATTACCAAAATATAAAGAAAATCATTTGCTTTTTCAAATCTTTGTTTTTCATAAAATAACTATGTAATTTTAAAGTTCACTTTATGATTGGTTGGTGTGGAGCTAAATACACTTTTTGTGGGGCCAAGTGATTTAAGTATTTTCTTGTTGCTTTTTAAAGTAGCTTATATCTTTTTAATCAAGTTTGACTACTTGAGAAGGTTTTTTAAACACACAGAAATGTTTAAAGTTAAAAAAAATCTAAAGCACCAAAAAATACATATTTTCCAAGTATTGATTTCAGCTGCTACTACTTGCTTCATTTATTTTTATTTGCGTTGTTTATTAAATATAACATTGTGGGCAAAACAATACAATAAGTTTAGAATTAATAAATATTTTAATCGGGGGGAGGGGGCAAAGTTCTATATTTCTTGTTTAACCAATTATTCTTAATTAATTTTTGAAAAAAGTTCAAAAAACAATTCAGTTTTTGCTAATTTTTTATGGTTGACCTTCTACTTCTATTTTAAAAATTTAAAGATATAAAGAATAAAAGTCTTTGCAAAAGTTTCTTTGCGTATAAAGTTACCCAACTTTTCTTTCAAATTTGTGCTATTCAAATTTTGATTGGATAAATTTGATTTTTGCGTTTTAGAAAAAAAAGTTTTATTTGAAGTCTCTTTCTAAACAAAACGTTTTAAGTAATCAAAAAGACAGATTGCTTTAAAATATCTTAATTTCCTTTTTTTTATTTATTTTTAATTGTTACTCAAGCTATCAAAAGGCTATTCAAGATTTCATTTTTTTTCTCGCTTTTCTTTAATGAAGTCAAAAATAAATCTTCTTTTAAAGTGCCAGTCAGTAGAAGTTCAGTAAAATTCTAAAGGTTTAACAACTTTAAAGATAAACAGGCTAAAGGAATACCGCTACCTAAAAAGCTTTATAAAAACAAACTGGGTGATCAAAGTTTGAAATTTTCTGCTTTACTCTAAAACGCAGTGAATAGCTAGTTAAAAAAAAATTCTAGAAGCAGTTAATAAGTATACCTCAAAGTGGTTGAATGATTGTATCATTCTTGCTAGAATATTTTGCAAAAGTTAGCCTCAGGACTTCAAAAAAGAGATAAGTATTATGTGTTTGGTTGATGATGGAATATGATTAGTATTAACTTTCTGATTAAGTTGTTGCAGTTGGAAAGCTTTGGAAAAAATCCATTTGATTTTAATAGTAAATGTATACTTAATTATTTAAACCATATAAAAAATGAAGGTTCACGTAGTTTAAAAATATTTTGGAAAAATATTGTCCAATTATTTGTCCAAAAATTTGAAACAATGGAATATAGTTAAAACCAGCTACAAAAAATGGATAACAATGGAAGAGCAGCAAACTTTACATCAGGTGTGCAAGATGAGTTCTATTTTAGTTTGATTAAAGTTACAAAGCAGCCCATTTAGCTGTAAACTAGGCATTATTGAAGTAGATAAAAATATGTTAAAATGAAAAAAAAGTTCGAAAAATGAGGTTCTTTATTTTAGGGATACAATGTAGGTCATTGTCGCGGAGATCTATTATGTTTAAATACATGATTGTTGATATAAAAATACAATTCTCCATCTTATGTCTACCAAAGAACACGCTCATAACCTAGATGTTCTACATGGAAAGTTACAGCAGCAATCTCTATCACATATGATGACTTTTATAGTTATTTTCCATTTTCAATAGTATATAACAAACTGTATGAATTATTAATATTTTCAAATATATAGTCTAATTTTTTTTGTTACTTATAAATTGTAAGGTATATTACACTGGCCAACAAAAAAAAATTTTTTTTTTGCTGCCGAGGATATTTTTACGAATTTATAGTATATCGGGTGTGCTGATTTCAGAAATGACATTAGTTTTCCACAATTGGCTCTAGTTCTTGAGATACAGGGTGTTCCAGATATATTCTTATACAAATATCTTCGTTCATGCATATTTTACAGTAAAATAGTTTTATTTCTTTTTAAAGGGCATACCTTTATATATATATATATATATATATATATATATATATATATATATATATATATATATATATATATATATATATATATATATATATATATATATATATATATATATATATATATACTTTTTCCTGTTTTTAGAACATAATGAGTTCTTCACGAAGAGGATGTTTGAATAACCCCAATGCATTCTGCCACATCTGTGGTGAATATTGCCAGGAGAGCCAAAGAAGAAATATTACTAACTTTGTGAAGCAAGCATATCTGGCATACTTTGGAATGAAACTCGGAGACCAAGATAAGTCTTGGGCTCCCCATATTGTATGTAAAATGTGTGTCGAAAATCTACGTCAGTGGAAAAATGGACAAAGAAAAGGTTTAAAATTTGGTGTGCCTATGGTATGGCGGGAGCAAAAGAATCAGGACAGTGACTGTTATTTTTGTTTGGTTAATGTGAAAGGTATCAATCGTTTCAAGAAACGTAAATTTGAGTATCCGGATTTGGAATCAGCAAGGCGACCTGTACCACACTCAGACGATGTCCCCATTCCAGTGTTCACTACACTCCCAGATCTAACAGTGTCTGATGAAGAAGATATGCAGAATTTGGTGTGCGAACATGCAGATAGTGGTAGTGAATATGAAGACAGTACTTCTAAACAGCAACAGTTCTCCCAGGAAGAGATCAATGATTTAGTACGAGACTTAAGTCTATCCAAGCAAGATTCTGAGCTTTTAGCATCTAGACTAAGTGAAAAGAACAGTTTTAAGGCCGAATGTAAAATAACTTTTTTTTCGGACAAGAGAGGCAGCACTTCCTCCATATTTCATTCAAGAAGAAAAAATAGTATACTGTAGGAACATCCCTGGACTCCTCCTCCAAATGGGGTTACTTGAATACCAACCAGAAGATTGGCAATTGTTTATAGATAGTTCGATGAGAAGTTTGAAGTGTGTTTTATTGCACAATAGCAATAGTTATGCATCCATCCCAATACTTCACTCAACAAAACTGAAAGAGGAATATGAAAATATAAGAATGATGTTGCAGAAGCTTAGATACAATGAGCACCAGTGGTCTATATGTGTTGATTTAAAGATGGTAAACTTCTTACTAGGGCAGCAAAGTGGATATACTAAGTACCCTTGCTTCATATGTTTGTGGGATAGTAGGGCTAAAGAAGACCACTGGAAAAAGGTGGTATGGCCTGCTAGGGAAAGTATGACTGTAGGTGCATCAAATATCATTAAAGAACCACTGGTAGACAGGGGAAAAATTATTTTCCCACCACTCCACATCAAACTAGGACTGATGAAGCAATTTGTAAGAGCCCTAGACAAAGATGGTCAATGTTTCAAATATATTTGCAGATTTTTTCCAGGCTTGAGTATGGAGAAAATCAAAGCTGGAATCTTTAGCGGCCCTCAAATTTGCCAAATCATCAAGGATGAGCAGTTCCTATATACAATGACAGATATTGAAGCATCTGCCTGGAAAAGTTTTGTCTTGGTTGTTCATAACTTTTTGGGCAACCATAAATCTCCCAACTATGAAGAAATCGTACAGAAAATGCTTTCAGACTTCAAAACATTGAAAGCTAATATGAGCATAAAAGTTCACTTTCTACATAGTCACTAAAAAGACAATCATACAGACACCGATTTTTAATGCATTAATTGTGATTTCATTGTACTGATTTGAATGTTTTGATCTATTAGCATTGTATGTACTTCCCCATAAACAATTTGATATATATATATATCTAGTGTTTTTTTTGTGAGTTACGCTACAACCTAACATAAATTGTTGCTATTAATGTACTTTCGTGACCACCCTGTATCTCAAAAACTAGAGCCAATCTAGGAAAAAGGAGGTCATATTCGGAATCAGGGCAACAAGTTACCTATAAAATGACCCCCAAATGTTTTGCCGCAAAATCTTTGTTGGCCAGTGTTATTGATAAATTAAACAGAAAAAGATTTCTACTTTTCTTATATTTAATGATAATAATAATTTCATCTATTTTTAACAATGCTTTTTTTGTCAATATATTCACTTTTATTAAAAACAAAGTAGAAGGCTAAATGATTAAAATGAAAAAAATTGATTATGATTTTTAGAATCAGCATGAAAAATTAATTAAGAAAAATTGGTTAAACTATAAAAAATCTAAAAAAAAATGATTATGGACCCCCCCTAATTTTAATGCAAAAATTAGACTATTTAATTATAGTTAACATTATAATAACTACAAGAAAATATTTCAACATGAATAATTATAAATCTATCTGAATTATCTTGATAAATTATTATATTTTTTGCTTTAAACTATAGTTTATAGCATTAATAGAAATCAAATCCATTTATTTATAAGAGAAAACAAATTATCAATATCTAATTAAAAAGATAAACTGGTAGTTTTTAATTTTATTGGTGAACAACTTGGAAATACTGAGTTTAAGGATCTGTTTTCAAAATTTATCTTTGAATACAGTAAACGATGGGCTGCAAGTGGACAATACAATAATAAATTAATGGAGAAAAATTTATCTGGGCTTTGCAAAGACTTCATTATTCCCCAACAAACATTTTCTTTATGCAATACAGAAACTACATCTAATTTATCTTTTGGCAGGCCTGGTAAATTTTTGAGGAATCATCTGACAAATCTAAGAAGCAGAAAATGACAGAACTTGAATCATTGGCAAGTTCTTCAAATGAGCTGTTGTTTGCTAGCAGTTGCAAACTTTGGAAACAAAGAAGAAGAAAAGATGCTAGTGTAGTTAGAAATTTATTAAAAATTTAAACTTATGAACATGCTCAAAATACTCCCAATGAAGACTTAGCACTCATCTTAAATAATAATATGAGCAAATTTGATTATCAATGCCTAGGAACAATGCTGTAAGAAAAGGCTGTAACTTATATCCAGCTTTTAACAATATACAGAAAGCAAAAGAATTTTGTCTTCCAGAATATAACTTATGGACTGTCACTGACTATGCTGCAGAAGTCAACATGCAAAAATTGGTCAATCACACAGCACTACGTTTGATAGAATGCCAGGCAGAAGTTATTAACTCTTTAGAAGATCTTCAAACAATGATACTAAGGTCCAAAGTTGGCTTTGATGGGTCAACTGGCCAAAGCCTTCATAGTCGAACAACAATAGAAAAAGAAAACAGAAATATTACAGATGAAGCCAGCTTATTCTTAATTTGCTTTGTGCCTTTGCCCAAAACAAGTCATCTTGGATATAGTAGTGGTGAAAAGAAGATTATTTGGTCCAACCCTCATCCATCATCTACTTTATATTGCAGACCATTAAGATTTTCCTATAAAAAAGAAACAGATGATTTAAAAGAAGAAGAAAAATTCCTTCACAACTCAATTGAAAAGTTATTTATTACAAATTATGAAAAATCTACAGTTTTTCACAAAAGTTGAAATTACAATGGTGGATGAGAAAGTTGCTACAGTACTTTCCAAGGCAACAAAATCATCACAATGCTGGATCAGAACTATGGAATGCCTTTTCAAAGTAAACTACAAATTAACAATAAAGAAGTGGACTACACAAGAACCGATGTTATTGGTTCATCTCGGTTTAGAGACATCTACATCCAAACAGCTAAACGATATGTGAACCAGTATCCATGGTACCACATGCCACAGAGCCTGCACCGAGTTTTTACTCATGGATGACAAGTTGTGGATTGGATTTAGTGATATGAGAACACCACATCATCCTAAGAAGGAACACTTTTCAGATGGTGTGCTGGAACTACTGAAAAAAATACCAATTAAAGATTATGTATAAATATACTATATTGTTATGTTTTTTTGGTGATACTTGAATTGTGTTTCTGTTTCCATTTTTCTGCTTTCTTGTTCTGTATATGTTTCTTGCTACAAATATTATTATTAATTGCTCATATATCATAAATTCGGATATATGAGAAAATAAACATTACCAATCGACTTATAATCATCAAATTAGTTAATACAACAATATTGGTCCACTAACCAGCGTTTTATAAAAATATATTTCTTTGTCCAGTTAATATGAACTCTGGCCCACTGTGCAACCAAGCTAAAAAAACATTTAGATTGCTATCAAAAAACTAACAAATTTCAAAGGACTTGTTACAAACTCTATTGTTGCAAACTATTGTCTGAAAAAAATTTTTGAAACATTTTAAATCTAATGTTATTTAACAATATTGTTTGTTATTAAAATGTTATTATTTGTTAGTTCATTATTTTAAGTTAAGAAAGACTAGCAATTATAGAATGAAATTAAGAAACTCAGAAAATGGCATTTCTCTTGGCTTACTTGATCTGCTAAATCATTATGATCTGATTCTTTGAGAACACCTAGACAAAGCAATAAAAAAAGATTTAGGAAAAAGATTTCAAGTTCATTACCTATCAAAAGAATCACAAAACTTATTAATTTGAAAAGTTTGGCTTCTACCTCAAGTCTATAGTTGGTCTTAAAATTCTGCCAGATAATGAATGCTAATGTTTTTTTTGTTTGTTTTTATGTTTAATAGAAGATAAATTTTGTTATAATTCCTTGAATTCTGAATTTTAATTTTTTGAAGTTATTAAAGAACATTTCAGCACACTAACTAATAATTATTAGTCATTGTCCACAAATTACCCCGAGATCTTATAAATTAAATGTATTAAAGTTATCAAAAATTTATTTAGAAAATTTATTTAATATAAGATAGTGACTGTTTATTGCTTTTTATATAAATATATTGAAATATATACTAAATAATTTTAAAATAAATTTATGTTTTTAGAAATAAAATAATTAAACTTATTATTTTGACTCAAACTTATCTTTAAATAAAAAATTTACACGGTAACTTGTGACACTTTGTCACAATTTACAGTGTGATGTGTGAGCTTTTTGTATTTGTGTGATAAATAGGCTTTTAGTTAAGTGTGCCATGATATGTAAACAAATTAAATTGTATTTTCTAGAGTCTGGGTCCAACCATATCTATTTTTAATATTATTGAGATCTGAGAAAACTAAACTTGTTTATAATAATTATATTTTAGTACTATTAATAATATTGAAAATTTGTAGTAGTTTGGTTAGTTGGTTTTTTATAATGAGATTTTATAGCTTAATAAAAGATCATTATAAATATTTTTATTGAATAAAAACTATTGAGTATAGTGATAAAAACAGAGTTTTTGGTTTTTATAAAACAAAAAATCTAAAAACCAAAAGTATTTCCAGTTACCATGATTCACGATCAGTTAATTTGATCTTTGAAGAAGTATATTCATTGAATTAAAACTTCATTAATAAAATTTTCTTATTTTTTGAATTTCAGTTGTCTTTTTAATATACTTTATTGTATTGCCATCTGTTTTGTTGATATTTTGTATCTTCTAAAACCAGCAGTAAAGTATATATGCACAAATACACTTTTTTTTTTAAAAGATACATTTCAAAAAAAAAACTTGATCAAACAGAATTAAGGACTGATAAGAAATTCAATTGGCTACTTCAAAATGAAGACACTACAGTTTCAAAGAGTCATGCTACACTTGACAGGTTATTTTTTTAATATTGTTGATATTTTTTTTAATGATAGCGTTAAATCTGCTTTTAAATTAAAGAATAGTTATTTCTTTAAATTTTTATGAAAAGAAAATTTACTTGTGTATGTGATTCATCTTTTTTGTTTAACTTACAGGATTATTATTACTGGAAATGCAATCACTCAGGCTTTAATTAAAGATAGTGCTGGAACCTTTAATTTTGATGAAGAGTATAAGCTTACCTTAGAAGATGTAATTTTTACTTTTAATAACAATTTTTAAAGAATAAACTTTTCAATGACCATTAAATCTAGTTCTAAAAAGTTTTTAATAGTTATTTGTACCAACATCAATCTCTATTGTAGGTCTTAATGATGATTGATTGATCTTTTTTAGGCTTTAAAAATCAGTGATCATTATCCCGTTAAATTTGAAATTAGTATGTTTTATTTTTTGTTTAAAAAAAGTTTATTTTATTTACTTATTGTTTTATGGTTTAAAATAAAATTATATTTAAATTTATTCTTAGTTATATATGTAAATTAAACTAAGAATAACTTTAAATATAATTTTATAAATATATAATGAATATAATAAATCTTTATAGTTGTGAATATATTTATAGATTTATTATGAATATATATTTATGAATATATTTTGAATATATTTAAACTTTATAATACATTATAAATATATTAAATATGTCCACATTAGTAAGTGTCCGGGGTTGATATTTGGCTGGGGTCAAAAGAAGGTCCTGAAGCTGCCAACTTTCAACATGCTTATTACTAAATCATCTGCATTTCTTAATATACTAAAACTACCTTAATCTTCTGATAAACCTTGTTTCATTCACTTACTATTCACTCACTATTTTTAATTCATTTACTCACTATTCCTAATCTTTAAATAATAATGAAAATCATGGATTTATTTCTTGGATTGTCATTACACCACACATTATGTCAATGTTTCACAGGATGTCGTGTGTTCGTCATTATATGACCAGGCAAATGACATTTTGCTATGATGATTTGACCGCAGCTATTTCAAAAAGCGCATTGAATGAAATATATTTAGAATTACACCTTAGGTGAAATAATTTACATCGAATACTTCTTAACAAATGTTTTTATATTAACAAATTGCTTTAAATAAAGTAACAATTTACTGATAATTATTTTTATTAAAGTATCATTGACTGTTGTATATAATTTTTTAAATTTATTTAAGTGTGCATTTTTTATAACAAACGTTATTAAAAAATAAAAAATTTTTTTGTTTTTGTAAATGATGAATTTCTAACACAACAAATGTTTCTTTAACGAATTTTAATATAAGAATCATTAAACTTAATACATTTATAAAGATAAAAAAAATTCTTTGAAACAAATAATATATATATATATTTTTTGAAAGCTGTTACAATTAAGTTTGATCTTAAATGCTTTTAAATTATTGAAACGTATTTTAATGAAGTAACAAAACACTTCTATTGAATTTTTATATTGGTTTTTTAATGTGTAATTATTTATTAGTATACATTTACATGGGAATTGACTTTTTAAATTAGTAAAAAAAAACACTATAATTTAAATTAAGCATGAGTATATTTTAAACAATTGATAAAGGTAAATTGGTCTTTTTATTTTAAGTATTTCCAATAATATTATTTAAACATTAATAAAGATAAAAAATTATTCCGAATGTTTTTAAAATACAGTTTAATTAAACTAAACATTTTAGTTTGTTGAGTTTTGTTTTAGTTGGGTTATATATATTTATATATGTATATATATATATATATATATATATATATATATATATATATATATATATATATATATATATATATATATATATATATATATATATATATATATATATATATATATATATATACCAACCCTCGAAATTAGAGTCGGCATTTTTAAATAATTGCTGACCTCGTTTCTATGTTTTATGGTGAGATTTTTGTATCAAATATTTTTTGCTGACCTGATACTGATCTTTAAAAGATTGAGGTCGGTAAATTATTGCTGACCTCGTTTTTCCTAATTCCGAGGGTTGTATATACATCTACATGTTTTTGACAATGGGTTATAAAGATTGCAACGTTTTACAATTTTCCACTTAACTAAGGGTGTAAACATTTTGTCTTTTATGTACCAAATTTCTTTAGACAACTCGGTATCATTTTTATATTTATTAATGTTAAAAGATTTTAGGTGATTAGCATATCGAGATTTGAATGGAGTTTCACATAAGCTAAAATATACTTTTTCTTTGTAATCAGGTTTATTTGACAGCATGGTGACTTGATAAACAATGTTCTTTGTCAAGCACTGATTGTTCATAAGACAAATGGATTTCTTGACACAGTTGCATATTTTTCCCTCATCTTTATCTTGGCTATATAATATTCAGTGATTGTGCATGTTTTTGCTGCAATATTGGTACTGAAAGGTGGGTTGTACCAGATTATGTTTTGCTTGTGATTTTTGAATGGGATCAGCTTTTTATTTAAATGGTAAGAGAACTTGCAGATAAAACCTGACTTAGATCATGTATCTTGATAAGGAAGAATGGATTATTTAAAAATATTTTTGTTTAAAGAATTAGTTGACAGTTTTAGTTCGATAGTTTGAGGAAGGCTTTTTAGTATACTAGGAGGGTGGTTAGAGTCAACATTTATATAATTGATGGAATTACCAGGCTTGCAGTAAGGTTGGAAAGAACTGTCATTAAGATTTAATGTTAAGTCCAGAAAATTAACAATTTTAAAATTACAGCTGATGGATATAAGAAGATCATTATTTTTTAAATTTTCTTAATATATATATATATATATATATATATATATATATATATATATATATATATATATATATATATATATATATATATTATATATATATATATATATATATATAAATGTAGTATTAGACACATGCAGATGATGTCATTAAAAAACAGAAAGTTGTGGGGGCTTCAGTACATATATCAACTATCAAATAACTTGACTTGCAACAGTGTTGCTACATCGATTGAGGGTTTGGCATGGAGCAATCTTTTTTTTTATTATTTTCTAAAAACTTAAAAGAAAAATTAAATTTTTACCTTTAGAGTGCAAAAATGGTATTAAAAATATTTTGACCTAACATATAGATTGATTATAGTATAGTAAATATATATATATATATATATATATATATATATATATATATATATATATATATATATATATATATATATATATATATATATATATATATGTATACATATATTCACACACTTATAATCTTGCTTAGTTGTCTTTAATTTTTATCATAAAATGTAAACTTTATGTTTTTATAAAATTAATTTAAAAAAAAAAAAAAGGTTTAAACACTTTAAAAATAATTTTTAAATCTTTTGATTGCCTGCCTGAACCAAAATCCTGTAGCAGCACTTCTTGCATGTTTTATCTGTTTGTTAGTTAATGTAGCAGTACTCCTTGTATGTTCTACGTTTTTGATGTTGATGTATTTGTCATAGTATCTAAACATTACAAAAAAAACTTTTAGAATGTTATTATTTTTGTTAAAAAAGTAAAATACATTATGGCTTAAAAAGTTGTGTTTTCGTGATTTAAAAAAAAATGATAAAACTTAATTGGTTTCCTCAATTAAATTTAATGGTTTTTACATAAAGTGTACTTTTGTCATAGAAATGTGTCATTTTCAAAGGCAAAGAGTTGTTAAGAGACTTTTTTTAAACTCCAGATACCTTGAAACCCCAATAACTTAGACTTTCAAAATTCTCCCGTAACCCTAATACTTACTCATAAAATTCACTCAATAACTCAAACCCTTTTCAAGCCGAACCATTTTATCCCTGTGGCTAACATTCTTCCGATAACTCAAACTTTTAAAGAAAATTTTAGAGAATTTTTTTCAAGAAAAACTAAATAAAACTCAGTAAAAGTTATTATTATTTTTTTTCATTAAACGTTTTGCCCTCAAGCCAATTTTGCAGTTTATCAACAAAATTTGAAGACGTTTGTTTAAACTACTATGACAGCGGTTTCCAACCTGTGGGTTGCAACCCCAATGGGGGTGGCCTGGCAATTTGCTGGGGGTTTGCATTAGACCTATTGAAATAATATTTTTATACTAGTCAGTGGTTTCTTTTTATCATTTTAAAAATTCTTTTAATCATTTTTAAACAGAAGATGTATAAAAAAATCTACCAAGAACTTGTTAGTTGGAAGAAAGTTTACTTTCTGTTTTCTCAGTTAGAGTACTATCCACTAAACTAATTCCTCAGGTTTTACTGTAACATTTGCAATCATGAATGATCTCAGAAAGAAGAAGAAGCATTAGTAAAAATGTCTTCCTAGGTATAAATATATTCCTAGGTATAAATATATTCAATTTAAACATTGTTAGGTATAAAATAGGGCATAAATATATTCAAAGTATCTACACTCCCAGGACCGATAAAACCAATATGTAAACAATGTTAGGTATAAAATAGGGCATAAATATATTCAAAGTATCTACACTCCCACGACCAATAAAACTTATATGTAAACAATGTTAGGTATAAAATAGGGCATAAATATATTCAATGTATCTACACTCCCAGGACCGATAAAACCTATATGTAAACAATGCTTGACACAAAAGTGATTTAAAACAATGTTTGACGCAAAAGTGATTTAAAACAATGTTTGATACAAAAGTGATTTAAAACAATGTTTGATACAAAAGTGATTTAAAACAATGTTTGATACAAAAGTGATTTAAAACAATGTTTGATACAAAAGTGATTTAAAACAATGTTTGATACAAAAGTGATTTAAAACAATGTTTGACGCAAAAGTGATTTAAAACAATGTTTGATACAAAAGTGATTTAAAACAATGTTTGATACAAAAGTGATTTAAAACAATGTTTGGTACAAAAGTGATTTAAAACAATGTTTGATACAAAAGTGATTTAAAACAATGTTTGATACAAAAGTGATTTAAAACAATGTTTGATACAAAAGTGATTTAAAACAATGTTTGATACAAAAGTGATTTAAAACAATGTTTGATACAAAAGTGATTTAAAACAATGTTTGATACAAAAGTGATTTAAAACAATGTTTGATACAAAAGTGATTTAAAACAATGTTTGATACAAAAGTGATTTAAAACAATGTTTGATACAAAAGTGATTTAAAACAGATTTTTTTTACTTTGATTTTTGCACTCTGCCAAAAATTTGGAAAGTTTTTAATTTTTGTCTTTTATGTTTAATCAAATGTTCATTTAAAAACGAAGATCAATAATACAGTTGAAAATTTTAGTTACACATTTATTACACATATGCTATGCCCTTATTAATAGTATGAATTCAAATTTATTTGTTTATAATTCAAAGTTTAAACCAACAAGAAAACAAGCAATAGATGGTTGTTATTTGGTTCTTGATTCAAATTGTTTCAAAAATGTAATAAAGTTTTCTAAAAATAATGTTTTATTGCAAGCGTTTTGTTTTGATTGTATATACCGTAAAATCATCACCATGTAACTTTGGTCATTTAAGAAAAAATATAAAAAAAGCATGCAAAACTCAAATTTTGCAAACTTTTTTTTCTCAAATAATATTTGTATTTAGTTTGTTATTATGAATCTATATAAAAAAGAATAATATTTGCATGCAACCTGCTGAAATAATTCTTTAGCAAAGCAGCAATTTGAAAAAATTCATAATATTAAAATCTAAAATAAGCAAATTATTAAAATAAATGATCAAATTTAATCTTTGTATTATTAGGAATCAAAAAATTAATTATATTTACAAATAAAAAATTATTAATTTTTAAAAATTAACTACTTTTTTTTAAAAAATTAGTAAAATTTTGAAATACTCTAATTTCGGTCATTCACGGATAAACAACGGAGACAATTAGCAGTAATATTGTGAAATATTGACAAGTGTTGTTATGTAAAATTTACCGGTAACTTTACCTGTAAATTTTACTAGTAAATTTTGACATTTTTATAATGGATACATACCATGGTATTTTATTTGAATAAAAAATTTGTTTATAATTTCAAAATTAACTGACGGTTCTTTGAGCTCTAAAAAATATCAAGCTTGTGACATTTTTCTTGGAGATAAAATTACAGCTAACGACAATTATGGGTGCGTTGCGAATCCTGTGAAGATTTTTTGTGTGGATCTTGCTGTTCTGCTATGTTCAACGAAACCTGCAAGAATTGCCAACAAATATAAAAAGCTCATTAAAAGCAAAGTAGTATTTTTTGTTAATTGAAAGAAACCTTTTAACCTTCCAAAGTAATAAAATAGTTGACTAATTACAATAAAAATTTTAAATATTTCTACTTGTATTTAAAAAGACCTTTTTTATGTGCTCCTTTTTTTCTTTGGTACCTCAAAAGACTTTTTTTTTTAGCCCGGAGTGACGCTCTCATTAGTTACTGGTATTACCTAAATTTATATCATAATTTTACAATAAAAAACATTTGAAAAATAGTTTTCATTATTTGTTACGTTAAGTTTGTGCTACGATATTAGTATTTATACAGTGGCCGAACTTATGAGATGGTATTGAAAATTCGGTCAAAGTAGATGTTTTCGTTTTAAATTAAATACTTAAATTAAATACTTTAAAAATAAATTAAATAATAGTATTAGTTTTTTAATTTTTTTTATTTTTACAATATCAATTATCAATATAATTTTCTGTATGTTTCAGGAAAAAAATTGAAAATATTTTATGTATGCATGATAAAAATATATATATATATATATATATATATATATATATATATATATATATATATATATATATATATATATATATATATATATATATATATATATATATATATATATATATATATATATATATATATATATGTAAAACATTACCAAGTTTTAATGACCAATACATTTACATAAAATGGTTCATTTGACATAACAATATGCTCCAATCATAAAAGATATTTATAAATGTAATATTTTTCATCCAATCAGTAAGAATGTTATCAATTTTAGCAAAAATAAATATCTGTCTGGCAACTTGGTGGATACATAATATCATAAAAGCATAATTGCTATACGATCAAAAAAATTAAACGATAGATATCAATCGATAGGCGATTAGTTCCAGTTGATACTTAAGCAACTGATTAGATTTCAATTTGATATGATAATGAATTTAATGAAGTGTCTGAAGGCTTTCTGATATACTAGATTTTGTAATGGCTCTTTTTAAATAGCAGTTGATTTATGATTATTAGCTTTAATTGGTTAACTCTAAAAAAACTACTGTATTAGCTTTTCTGCATCATTTACAAAGTTAACTAAATCACCCGAGATATTGAATGGGGTGTCAAGTTTAATATTACATGCGAATAACAGTTTTGCTTTATGTTATAATAGAAAAATAATTAAAAATGTTAATATCTTAATTAAATACAATTATATTTTGATGTTTGTTAATCGTAATAGTTCTATTTTGTTATTTTGGCAGATAACGGTTTTTTATTTTTGAAAAATTTAAGTTCATTCCGATAAACAACTTTTTTTATTACGTATCACGATAGATATTTTTACAGCGATTTATTATAGCATAATTTGTTAGCTCAATAATATTAAATAACATTTTTAACCAAATTTATAACTATATTTAGGTGGCAAACAGGACTAAGAGAAATTCTAAGAACAAGTTGGAATTATTGGCAATTATAATGTTTGGAAAAGTTGTCGGTTTTGGAGTTTATATTTTTAACTTAGAGAGATTGTCATACGATTGTAATGTTAACTGTTAAATGCTTAAGTTAAAATCTTTTATGTGTGAGATATAAAGGGAAGAAAATTTTGTTTTTATACTTGTTTTTTTTTTGTTTTTTGTTTTTGCATATATTCACCAATGGTTTTATATTAGTTGCTTGTTTTATCAATGTGTAAAGTTTAGCAAACTTAAAGATATCTTTTTATTTCTATATACGTAATAATTTTTTATAGATATAATATATGGATTTCTATTTATTGTTTGGTTTTATGATACTCTTGTCTAATTGTTTTTAATAATTGTTAAATTTAATGTTTTTTCATTGGCTTTTAATCTTACTTAAAAACCATTCGATGGTTTTTAACTAAGATAGAGCGAATATTAATCTAATATATAAAACCCAAAAAATTAATTTTTTCATTTTTTACAAATAGTTTGAAATAATATAAATTTTTTAAAAATGATTTATTATATATAAAACCCACAAAATAAAAAAAATACATTTGCCGTTGAAACACTGCAATATTTTTTTTGCATTTGTTTTTTGTCTGAATTTTGATTTTCTCTTCTTTCAACGTTGCGTATTTACATTTTACTGTTGTGTATTTTCCCGTTGTTTACCTTTGTTTACATAAGCTTTCTTACATAATTCATGGCGATTTGTAATTAATAATTCATGGCGCTTTGATTTCAAGACTTTTTTTTCTTTGAAGGATTTGTGTCCTTGTTTTTTCTTTTAGTAGCACTTTTTTTATCATCTGTAACTAAATTTTTTCTCTCCACTGATGAACTTAATAAACGGTTAATGGAATGAACGTGACCGTAAATTTCTCGCGTTATTTCTTCAATATCGTTTATTATTTTACGAAACGTCATAACTAAATCAATTCCGAGCTTAATCCGGTAATGACGATTTCTTGTTGATCGTAGAATGTTCAAAACAAGAGTTCAATTTTTTAGGACTACATTCAGCATCGCGTTTACACTCTCGATTTGATCGCGTAAACACTCTTGATCTTAAAATGTTCAGCAAGCCAAAAAATATACTAATACCAAAAAATTTTTTCAAGAGTTCTTTCAGAATGGTTAATTATAAAATTAATAAAAATAATTAATTAAATAAATAGTTAATTATAAAATTAATAAAAAATAAGTAAATACATCGATTGTATATATTATAATTTTATTAATCACCGTAACACTCCGTAAATATGTTTAAATTCTAGGTAAAAATTACAAATTAATAAATTTAGTTTAAGGTCAAGGAAGAATTCATTATAATTCATAATAATAAATCAACATAAACTATATATAACTGTGGATTTAAAATATAAATATACTGAATAAATATATGAAATTTATAAAACAAAAGAACTAAAAACAAGAAAAAATATTTTCTGCTGAAAAGATAACTTCTTTTAATTTTCGTTTGAAAGAAGTTAAAGTCCATTTTAAAGACAAATCAAAATTTGACTAAACTATTTTATTCCATATATAAGGACCGCGATAAGAAATAATTAGTTGTTCAAATTTAGTTTGGCAGAAAGGTTTTTTTAGATTTTTCCATTGCGTAGATTGTATTTGTTTATGGGTTTTACGTTATAAAGGTTTATAAATACAATAGGAGATGAATGATTTTTACATTCAAAATTAAAACAAAATATTATAAACATTTAGTTACATTACAAATGTATACATATTAGTATACATTTAAGGCTTTCATTTCTCTAAGTGGTTTTAAATTCAAAAAACAATTTACAAAATTAATTAAGCGAGCTGCGTGTTTCTGATGCTGATAACGAGATTTAAGTTTAGTTTAGTGCGCGCTTCCTCATACAATATTTGCATATTTTAAATAGCAGTGGATAACAAATAATATAGTCATTTTAATTGTTTTTTATTTAAAATATGTCGAACTTTATATATAATTCCAATACTTTTAGCAACTTTCAAGGAGATATTATCGATTTATTGTTTCCAGGATAAGTTTTCGTCTACAAGATCTCCAAGAAGTTTTGTAACTTTTTAGTATTGAATAATCAATGAAGAGGTCGGGCATCGTATTTAGTAAACATTTTTTTCTGAATATTGTGTAAAAAAGTGTCTGAAAAAAAAATTGTTTTTCTTAAACCAATATGAGATGTTATTTAATTCTTGTGTCATATTATCAAAAAGCGATTTATGTTTTCATGAGATTGGAATAGGTTTGTGTCATTAGCAAAATTTATAGTGGTTAATTTAGAGGCTTTGTTGAGGTCATTTATATATATTAAAATAATAGGGGCCAAACTATGATCCCTGTGGGACACCACATGTTACATTCATTAAATAAGGAAAAGAAGAGTCTTGGATATTAACAAACTGCTTACAATTACTAAGATAGCTTTTGAACCAGCTTAGGTATTTATCTTTAATTCCATAAAGATCTAATTTTTTTTAATAGAATGTGGTGATCGACAGTACCAAAAGCATTAGACAAATTGATGAATACTCCTAGGGTGTAATCAGCAATTTTAAAGGAATCAGAAATGCTACGTGTTAGTTGAAGTATGGTGTGTTCAGTAGAATAGTTTCTCTGGAAGCCAAATTGATTATTATATAAAAGTTTAGTATCAACAAAATAATTGTAGACGCTGTTATACATTATTTTTTCTAGTGTTTTAGAGAAAACTGGAAGAACTAAAAAAGGACGATAATTTGTAATGTTACATTGGTCACCTGATTTATAAATAGGAGTAATTTTTGCTACTTTCAGAGAGTCTGGAAAAGATTCTTGAGCAATAGAGGCTTTACAAATTTTATAGAGTATATCTTAAAGAGTATATCCGACTTGATAAGGTCCTCTTGATCAAGGTTTATCTTCCTCCTTATCTCGCTTATTCTCGCCTTCCTCTTTATTTTTTATTGATATTAATTAATTAGAACAACTTTATCGGCATTTAGCACGTCTAATAAACTTAAAAGATCGCTGTACTCATTGAAGACATCGTTTATTAGAAACTAATGTTCTTAATATATACCAAATAAATGTTTTTAATGTTCTTTGCTTTATGTACAAATGTAAAACAAACTTAACGCCCTTCAAAATTTATATGCAATAAAACCCCAAAACAAATATGACCTAAGAAATGACAATCTCATTTTAAACCAATGGATTGCGTGAATTTCGTGAAGCCGAATAGACTTCAACACTCCCGCCACCATTGACGAGTAAAGGAACACTCTTCTCGTTTACAAAGATGACAATTACTAATTTTTTTTTGTCAGAATATTCAGTAGGATATAGTTTATTAATGGGTCGATTAACTAAACACGATTTACCACCTTCTTGTATGTAACAAACTATAGCAACGCCAACAACTCCATCATTAGAATATATCAATTCTTTAACACGTGCTAACTTCCATAATTGTCTTTTGCAGTTTTTGCTTTCAATTAATACAATGTCATTAACACTAATATCATTACAACCATTACTTCGATTTGATTTATGGTATTCACGCAACTCTGTTCAGTACTCACTCTTGAATCTGTTTCTAAAATAATTCAACATATTAGCTAATGTATTGTTTCATATACACACATCTTGTTCTATCTCATCACAAACACTAAGACAAGTCTTACACCTTAGTTTATGTCCAAAAACTAAGTGATTGGGTGTGAGTGCTTCATCACCTTGGTTGTTATACAAATATGTTAATGGTCGGTTGTTTAGTACCATTTCAATTTCAGAAAGTAATGTTCGTATTTCTTCATGAGAAGATTTTGAGGTCTTTAAGGCTTTTTTTAAACATCGTTTCGTCATTCGTACTTGTTGCTCAAACAACCCTCCCCACCAAGGGGACAAAGGCGTATTAAATTTCCATTTAATATATTGGTTTGCAGCAAATGATTGAGTTTCAATTGAAACGAATTGAGAACCATTGTCAGAATAAATAATTTCTGGAACACCCCGCCTTCTAATAAATTGACGAATACCCATTATACATGATCTAGATGAACAGTCAGCTAATAAATCTAATAAAATCGAACGACTACTGCAACACGTAAACAAAAAAATCCATGCTTTATTCAATGTACTATCATCATAATCATCTTTGATATACAGTGGAACAGCATAATTCAAAGCAATACACTTGAAAGCAAAATCAGAGTTTAAACGACTTTCTGGTAAAGGAGGAGCAGGTGGATAAGAATAAGGTTTACCCTCTATACGTCGACATGTTGTTCATTCTCATATCACCCTCTTTGCTAATTGCCTACAATAAGGTATCCAATACTGGGATCTTAAAGCATTAATTGTTTCTTTCAAACCATTGCGCTTAACAAGCTTATGAAAATGTAAAACTAATAATTTAGCAAAATAACAATTACTAAATATAAATATAGGAAATTTAGTTTTTCACATTGTCTACAAGAGAAAGGGCATCATAAGAAGATCGGCAACAGTAAAGAGATGCGACCTTAGCAGACCTTAGCAGATGCGAACTTAGCAGATGCTAAGGTCGCATCTGCTAAGGTCTAAATCACAGCTAATTTTGCAATCAATTTGATATATGGTTTCCAAGAAAGATAGGAAGTAGTAGTTAATTCAAGAAGATGAAGGGTAAGTGACTCATTGAGTACATTGCTGTTCATAAATATAGGAAGATCAAGACTAAATTTTAGTTTTACCTAAGTTAAAGTTCACTAGCCACTGAAAGCCCCATGCTGTAGGAAAAGTAGGATCCTTTTCAAGCTCAAATGCCTCCAAAAAATCAGGAAGCGTTGGCTTCTTATCAAGGCAAAAATAAATGGTAATATCATCAGCAAACAATGCCACCTTAGATGTGAGAATTTTTGGGAGTTCGTTAATGTAAATTAAAAAAGGTTTTGGGCCAAGGATAGAACCCCTGAAGTTACAGGATATAAAAAAGAGTGCTGTCCATCGAGTACAGCTTTTATATTACAATTGGAAAGGAAGGATTCAATAATCTTAAAGATGTTACCTGATACACCGTAAGAAGAGAGCTTTTCAAAAGCTTTTGAAACATTATCAAAAGCTTTTAAAATAATCAGAGTCTTAGCCTCTTCACATCTATCTAATTCACGAAAAAATTTATCAGTTATTACCGTAATCAAATCAGCAGTAGAACGAGAAGATTGGCACGCTTTCCAGCATGCCGTAAAACAAGGCTCCAATAAGATAAACATTACGAAAATAAGACTCCAATAAACATTACGAAACTGTTCTACGGAATGAATATTGAACTTAAGTTTATCTCAAATTGGTTTAAATGTAATAAATTAACTTTAAACATAGGTAAAACAAAGTATATTCTGTTTCACCCATTATCGAAAAAACGATTTTTGCCAAAACTTGTTACAAAACTATTTATTGAACAAATTGAAATAAAAAGAGAAACCGCTTCAAAGTTTTTAGGAGTAATTCTTGATGAAAATGTTATATGGAAAACTAATATTGATTTCATTTGCAATAAAGTTGCTAAATGTATTGGCATCCTAATTAAGATCAAATATTTTTTAGATAAAAAAAATTTAATTCAACTCTACTACTCCTTTATATATAGCTATATTAACTATGCCAATATTGCTTGGGAAAGCACAAGCAAAAGTAAATTGCAACTTCTTTATCTTCGTCAGAAACGTTTAATATATTTTAAAAATCGTTTAACGCATTAAAATTTTTTTTTTAAAGATGCGAATGTCCTTAATTTATATCAACTCAACATTTATAAAATTTTGTGTTCTTGTTTTAATGTAAGATGTAAAGATGACTCAGCACTATCTATTTTTAAATATCATTTTATTAAAAAAATAAAAAATATATTTTGCGAAATAATAATATTTTATGTAAACCACTTTGTCGTTCAAAGTTTAATCAAGTTTGTATTGGACATCATGCACGTTATCTCAATGGCAATGCAACGATTTCTTCGTGAACAGACGTGTTTTTACAGCAAAAGAATTTTCTTCAAAAAATAAAAATAATAATAATTAAAGTATATTAACTTTAGTTTTTAGTATTTAATTATCTTTATAACCGGAATTATTCTTCAAATTTATCTAACTATCTTCAAAAAAATTGCAACACAAAATTAAAAATGGCGAAATTTACTGTTTCACAAATCAAGGAGCTGATAGAGTTGCATGAAAGTACACTGTTGAAAATATTTAATGATAAGTTTGAAAAAATAGAAAACAAGCTCATTAGTATGCAAGTAGAAAATACAACTTTAAAAAATGAAATCAGCGAATTAAAGAAGTCTGCTGAGTTCATAAATGAAAAATACGAAAAAATTTTAAACGAAGTGAATGATTCTAAAAAGAAAGCATCAACATCAAATTTAAACAAAACTAGCATAGAACTTGAACACAGCGATAATATAATTAAAGACAAACTAGCAGAATTGGAGGACCGCAGTCGGCGAAACAACTTAAGATTCAATGGGATCCAAGAAAGTGAAAATGAAACTTGGGAAGAAAGTGAAAAAAAAATACACGAACTATTAAATTCAAGACTTGGTATTAATAACAATATAATAATTGAAAGAGCACATAGAACTGGAAAACTTGATTATGGTGGAAAAATGAAAAACAGAACTACAGTTGTCAAATTCTTAAACTATAAAGATAAACAAACGGTAATGGAAAGTTACTCGAAGTTAAAACTCTGTGACAGAACGCCTATACATTAATGAAGATTACTGCGAAACAACAACGGAATTAAGAAAGAAATTGTTTATTGAAGCGAAAGAACTTAGAACAAAAGGTAAATATGCAAAAGTGGTTTATAATAAACTTGTTACGCGCGATGCTTAAAAATAGGAATTCCTTTATTTTCGCTAGGCACAAAAAGTATACTAAACTATTAAAATGAATTCAGTTTTACTAGATAATTTTAAATTAACCTTTAATTTTCTTCAAACAAATAAATACCTTATTGATGAGAGATCTGATCCAGATCTAAATTATTTTAGCGAAGCAGGTGCTTTACAAAATAATTGTTGTTATTTTTACGCACATGAAATATAGGACTTCCTAGAGCGTGACCATTTGAATGCCTTGCATATAAATATAAGAAGCTTAAAAAAAAATTTTGAAAGCTTTTGCTTATGTATGAAAGATTCTCTAAACGTTTTTTATATAATTTGTGTAACCGAAACGTGGTGCGATTCTGACGAAGTGAATTATGACTGTAATATCCATTTACCTGGTTTTAAAATTATATCATTAGCGCATAAAGCAAATAAGCGAGGCGGCGGTGTGCTTATTTACATAATGGAAAGTTTTCAATTTTTTACAAGGCTCGACCTGAGTATTTCTGATGACGATAAAGAGATTTTAACAACTGAAATTTTAACCCAAAAAAATAAAAACATACTTTTAAGTTGTTGTTATCGCCCACCTTCTGGAAAAATTGAATGCTTCAACACATATTTAAATACTAATATTATGAAAAAAGCTGACCACGAAAATAAATTAATCTATATAATTGGTGATTATAATTTAAATTGTTTTGATTATCACGTCAAGCAAAGCACACAAAAGTTTTATAACGAATTATTCAAAAATGAAGCGTTTCTTTTAATAGATAGACCAACCAGAATTACCGAAAAAACGGCTTTAATAATCGATAATAATGTAACTAACGATGATTTTAATGAATCTTTAAAAAAGGGTATTATTAAAAGTGACATTTCCGATCATTTCCCCATTTTTTTCTCTATAAATATAAAACCAAAAGTACTACCTAATGAAAAAACAACCTTTTTAAAACGTATCTATAACGAAGCTAATTTATTATCGTTTCATGAACAACTGTCATTGCTTCATTGGAAAGATATAAACACTTAATCTGACGTAAACTTTGCTTACAACCAATTTTTTAAATCTTTTTATGAGGTACATGATGTAAATTTTCCGAAACGCGAAATAAACTTAAAAACCAAAAGTGTAAAATCGCCATGGATTACAAACACCCTAAGAAAATCATCAAAAGTCAAACAAAAGTTGTACATTAAATTTTTTTTTTTTTTTTTTTTTTTTTTTTTTTTTTTTTTTTTTTTTTGTTTTTTTCTTGAATATTCAATATAGTTATACAATAAGATAGTTGAGATAAAAATCGTTATACAATAAAAGAAAATATATACAAAAAAGAAAGAACGCGGAGACTCGCAGAAGACCTTCAGGTCTTATCATCGAGAACCGCTCGTGAATATTAAGTACATTAAATTAACATGAAGTAAAAAATCTAAACAATGTCGTATTAAAAATTAGCGAGAACGTAAATTTCGTAATAATATATAAATAAAATTGGAATAAAGAAATTGTTGATACTCTTATATATAAATACAAAATATTTTAAAAAGTACTGTTTCCACAAACACATAAGTTATGGATCAGATATAATATTTATATATTACCTTATGTAATAAACTTTATATTCATTTTTAAAAGAATTTAAAAATATAAAAAAATGTCTTCAAAAGACAAAACAATTTCTTTTAGTTTTTTCTTGAATGAAAGATAATTCCATTCATGGGAAAAATCAAAATTTTTTAAAACTATTTTGTTCCATAGAAAAGCTCCTCGATATGAAATACATGACTTTCCAAAATTAGTTAAAGATAAAGGTTGCTGAATTTGATTATCATTTCTTAAGTTATATTTATTTTTATCTTTTAAGGTATATAGATTATGAAAAGAAACTGGAGATTCGTTGGTTTTACACATGAACATAAAACAAAGTATATTAAAAATATTTAGCTGATAAATATTAAGAATTTTCATTTGAAATAATAATGGTTTGGCATGAGCAAATCGATCTTTATAATTGATAAGCCGAGCAACATGCTTCTGCTGACGATAAAGAGGTAGCAGTTTAGATTTATTGGTATTGCCCCAAGCAATATTTGCATAATTTATATGGCAATGGATTAAAGAGAAATATAATTGTGTTAAACTGTGTTTATTTAAAGTATTTCTAGCGTTGTACATTACTCCTATATTTCGAGCAACTTTGTTGCACAATAAATCGATGTGATACTTCCAACTAAGGTTTTCATCAATATTTATTCCTAAAAAGTTAGTAGTTTGTTCTCTTTTTATTTGAACTTTGTCAATAAAAAGTAAGGGCATCACAGGAGGTAGTAGCTTTTTTTTTGAAGTTTGATGAAAAAGTATCCATTTAGTTTTTTCAACATTTAGTGACAGCTTATTCGCTTTAAACCAGTCAGAAACTTTTGTTAATTCAATATTCATATTATGGAATAATGTTGTTATGTTGTTATGAGCTAAAAAAAGATTTGTATCGTCGGCAAACATGACCGTCATTAAATTTGAGGCTTTAGGGAGATCATTAATGTAAATTAAAAAGAGAAGAGGTCCTAGTATAGAACCTTGAGGGACCCCACATGTTATATTTAATAAATTGGAAGAGACAGTCGTATTACTGTAAACAAACTGTTTACGGTTGCTTAAATAACTTTTAAGAATCATTAAAATATTCCCTTTAATTCCATAATACTCTATTTTTTTAAATAGGATTTTGTGGTCGATGGTATCAAAGGCTTTCGATAAATCTATGAAAACACCTAACGTATATTGAGATTTTTCAAAAGATTCAGCAATATAGCGGGTAGTTTGGAGTATAGCGTGTTCGGTTGAATTACTTTTTTTAAATCCGTATTGATATTGATACAGTATATTATTTGAAGATAAATGATTGAAAATTATATTATATAAAATTCTTTCTAAAATTTTAGAAAAAACAGGCAAAATCGAAATAGGGCGATAATTTGAAACATTGGTTGAATTCCCCCCTTTAAATATTGGTGAAACTCTGGCTATTTTTAAATTGTCGGGAAAAATACCCTGTTTTATTGAACATTTGAAAATTTGAAATAGAATATCTTTAATGACTCCATACGAGTCGATAATAACATTGCAATAAATATCATCATAACCAACTGATTTATTAGATTTAAGCTTTTTAAAAGAAAGTTCAAATTCCTCAAAGGATAACTCAAAGGAGTTTAAGAACGAAGTTATTGGAAAAGCATAATTATTCAATTTGTTTTTCAAGATAGGAATTTGTTGGGCCAGATTAGGACCAACTGATACAAAATATTCATTTAATTTGTTAGCTATTGCAATTTGATCAAATGATGTTTCTTCATTAATCTTAATAGTTTTAGGCAATGAGCTCGTTTTTAATTTCTGCATGCCAGTGAGTTCTCTTAGAATTTCCCACGTACGTTTCGAATTAAGATTATTTCTATCAAGCAAATTAGAATAGTAAATTTTTTTTTCTTTTTTTTTCTGTCTTTCAAATTCTTTAGCGTATTTTTTATAGAGAACTTTATTTTGTTCAGTTTTTGTCTTTAAATATTTTACGTATAATTTTTGTTTAATTTTAGAGGATTTTTTTAGTTCTTTTGTGATCCAAGGTGACATTAAACTTTTAGCTTTTTTATTTACTATTTGTTTTGGAAAATTAGCATCGTATATTTCATAAAACGTTTTAAAAAACGTATTATAAACTAAATTAGCGTCAGCACAGGTATCTATTTGTTTCCAATGAAGATAAGATAATTGTTCTTTAAATGTTTTTAAATTATCATTAGAAAAAAAACGTTTTTTAAAAGTTTGTTTTTGTTGAGATATTATATCTGCGTCGATATTAATAGAGAAAAAAATAGGGAAGTGGTCCGAGACGTCACTTTTAATGATGCCTTTTTTTAGAGATTTATTGAAAACATCAGTTGTTATAATATTGTCAATTAAGGTTTTTGATGTAGGAGTTATTCTTGTTGGTTTGTTAATTATGGGAAAAGCACCGAGTTCAAATAACTTGTTGTAAAATTTTTTAACGCCATAATTAGTGTGGTATTGGTAACAATCTAAATTAATGTCACCTATTAAGTAGTATAATTTATTTTCACAAATGCTTTTTTTTAAAATGTCAAATACCTTAAAGAAAAAAACGATAGAAAGTAAAACCATCTACAAAAAATATGCGAGAGAATTTGAAAAAATTAGAAAGAATCTTAAAAAAAAATACTATTCCGATTTACTTATGCGATACGAATGTGATTCAAAACGCACATGGCAAATTTTAAGAGAAATTACCGGTAAAACAAAAATTAAATCATGCGCTCTGAAAAATGGCATTAAAATTAATGGTGATATCTCTTATGATCCACGTGAAATAGCAATCGAACTAAACAAATTTTTTGTCACGATCGGACCTAATTTAGCAAGAAATATACCAAATATAAAGAAAACAAGTGATATCTCATCTATTGCATTAGCTAATCTTGATTTTTTGGAATTATCGTTTGTAGAATTTGAAACAGCTTTTAGTGCGCTAAAACCAAATAAAGCAAGTGGCTTCGATGATATAAATAGCAATGTAATAAAAAATTCATACAAGGCTATAAAAGACGTGCTTTTTAAAATTTTTTCAATTTCAATCAGACAAGGAATTTTTCCTGATCAATTTAAAATTGCAAAAATCACACCGATATTCAAAGGAGGAGACTTAACAAATAGCAATAACTATCGCCCTATCTCTGTTCTTCCAGTCTTTTCTAAAGTCTTAGAAAGAATTATTTATAACAAAATTTACACTCATTTAACTAATAACAATTTATTATTTAACCACCAGTATGGATTCAAAAAAAAACAACTCTAC